CGACCGGTCGCGTGACGGACCGGGGCAAGCGCCGCAGCTGACACACCGGCTCGGCGTCGGCAAACTGACCCGCCACGCAACCGCGGGCCCAAAAAAACGCATGCCTGTTGGCTCTGAGTCACTAACACGCCTGGCGTCAGCGTGCTTGGTGGGAAAGGAAATTATACCATTTCAGCCCGGGACGCACGCGGTGACGCGGACAGCGCGGCACAATCTGCAGATCCAGGAGTCCGTGGGAATGCCTCTGCTCAGTAGGCGCCACACAGCACTCAGCCCTGTGCACCGTCACTTGCATTGCTATAGCTCACACCTCCGCTTGCTCTGTTGTAGCTCACACCGCCGCTTGCACTGTTGTAGCTCACACCTCCGCTTGCTCTGTTGTAGCTCACACCTCCGCTTGCTCTGTTGTAGCTCACACCACCGCTTGCTCTGTTGTAGCTCACACCGCCGCTTGCATCTGTTGTAGCTCCACCCGCCGCTTGCGCTGTTGTAGTCTCACCCGCCGCTTGCCCTGTTGTAGCTCACATCGCCGTCTGCACTGCTAACACCGGCCCCTGCGCTGTTGTAACTCAACCCCGGCCACAACACATGAACGCGGTTCGTCAACAGCGAAACCAGGCCACGCCGCCCGGTAAGCTCGGCTACAGCGGGCCGACGCCAAAGGCCGCGGGTTCTCGCCCAATGTCACGACACGCGATGCGCCGCTGGTGGCTAGCCTGCACTTCACCGACAGTGCAAACAAAGCGGCCCGCGCTTACAACGGCTCGCTCGTCCCTGTGCGCTAATGGGTCACAAACAAGCGAGAGTGCGAGACAGGTGATCGATTGGAAAGCCTCGGAGGATGCATTTTTTAAAGCGATTGTAGCTGAGAAACGGGGGGAACATAGGCAAGTATGACATCGTCTCTGGAGCATGCAGGCGTCGTACAGCACACACCAGGCTCCGCGCCCGCCGACAAAACACCAACTACACGGGGCGCCGCGCGACCGACAGGGTGCGGACTGGCGCCCCATTGAGCCGCCCTACTGCTGACCGCTGATGGCGGGCCCCCGCTGCGGCATGCTCGAGCCCGGTCGATCCGTGACATCATCGGCGGCCGACCCGTCGCCCACACGTCGGCCACGATCGCCGGGCGGCCGCGTGCCGACCCGGGGCAGAGCGGCGCCCCCCCCCCCCCCCGCCCTCGGCGGCTCGTGACCGCTGTTGTCTCCGGGCGCGCGTGACAGGGCCGTGCGCCCCACCTCTGCGTGGGATCGGGGCCGGGTTGTTTTGACGGTGGCGTCCCGAAAGGCCAGGGCGCAGCTTTTAGCAGTCCCGTCCCTATTGATCCAATGTGTGCTCGATTGGATCACTCTTTTTAGGCCGTTTTGTATACAGAGTATTCGCCGCCTGTCCGATTTGCGGCCTCGGCAGCGCTCGGCAGCGTCGACGAAAGAGTAGTCCCAGGCGCAAAGTTCACGCCTACCTTGACAACGGTGTACAGGAGTGCGTTTCCCTTGCAGCTAGCACCCGCACGTGCTACGTGCGTGGATCGTTCCGCTATATGTCCTCGGCTGTTGACATCTTAGCGCAGTCGGGAGGAGGTGACTGATCTACCTCGTCTGAATTTCGCCGATCGGGTTCGTCTCTCACCCTGGTCGATATCTGGATATTAGGACCAGATCTCACCGCTCGGACGCCCGCAAGCCTCCCTCCGCGCCCAACCCGGTATTCAAGCCCCCGTTTTTATACTGCCACGACCCGCCGCGCGGGGATAAGCGGAGTGATGACGCGGGGTCACCGCAGTGGTGACCATTAGCGGTCGGCACCATCGGCCGTCAGCACCAGTCGCCGGCGGCCGGCGCGGACCGCCGCAGCGCCTAGCGGCGACCATTAGCGGTCGGAACCATCGGTGTCAGCACCAGTCACCGGCGGCCGGCGCGGACTGCCGCAGCGCCGCAGCGGCGAACCATTAGCGGTCGGCACCATCGGTGTCAGCACCAGTCACCGGCGGCGGCGGACTGCCGCAGCGCCGCAGCGCGCCCGTCGGCGGGTCAGTGCTCGGGGTTGACCGGACCAGCCGGGGCCGGCCGCCGACCGGCCCGTCCTGCCGGGCTCCGCTGCCGGCGCCGGCCGCACGCTCTGTCCGCCCGGCTTTGTTCCGACTCGCGGCGCCGGGGACAGTCTCTCCACGTGGGCCGCGTGTGGGCCGTGTGCTGGCGGACAGCCGCCGCAGTCAGGGCTGATGTTGGGAGCGCCTAGCTCCCTGCCAGGGCGGTGGCCGGTTCCAGAGTCACCTCGCCACCAGTTTGGACGTTGGTCGTATCTTAAAGTGAAATGCTCGGGTACTTGGATTACTGCAGTGGTCGTCCATTCTTTTCCACCGGGTCACCGGGCCGCCTTGTCTGCCGTGGTGTAAGGAAGTCGGCTTCGCCGCCGCCGGATGCTGTGACGTCATATGTCGCTCTGCGCGTCCGGGGCCCGCGCCGACGCGGTTCCTGTGAACGCGGCCATTCGTCACGCGGTCGGTGACGTCACGCACGCGGTTGCCGTCCGCCCCGGATTAGGATGCGGGACGGGGCAGGGCGCAGTGGTTCGGCTGCCCCGCTGTGCGAGCGGTGGAAGTTCTCCGCGAGCGTGCCAGGTCCCGTGGAAGTGTTGCACTTAGCCGTCCGTTGTCAGCGGCCAGTGCGGCCGCCAAGCTTTCGTGGGCGTCGTCGGTCGGCCGGAACATTCACACGACACGACACGCATGCCACAGTGAAAGCTACTTCACTAGATTGAGCAGGGCCCTAAGCTGGGAGCCAGTAGCCGCGCAGTGCTGTTGTTTTCCAAGCAGGCTCCTTAGAGGGTGAGTGGCGCCGGATTGTCGCTCTCAGGTATGCTAATGATGTGCATTGACCAAGTTCGGGGGACATTGCTAGGTGACGCCGTTGCCTCCATGAGTTCGGTCTGGCCTGTCCCTCGTAGTTTTCTGCTGGCTCCATGGCTTCGGCCCCGTCCGTTCGTCCGGATTCTGCTGGTTCCATGGCTTCGGTCCCATTTGTCCGTCCTGGTTCCGCTGGTTCCATGGCTCCGGTCCCGTCCGTCCGTCCTAGTTCCACTGGCTCCATGGCTCCTGTCCGGCCTGTCCGTCCGTCGTGTTTATGTAGAAACATATTTTACTCAATTTTGCAATGTTCTAGCAACAAATAGTGAGGATTCAGCGCAACATTACGTGCATTAAGGGCTCATTAAGTGCTCAAATCTGCATTGGGGAGGGGGAGGGGCGAGAGCGATACCGCCCCTCACAGAGGAATACAAATCGACACCTCAGGCTTGGTCCCCGTTGGCCCCAGGCTATGTGACGACCATCCAGCCCTGTGTGGCCATCATGCAGTCCTCCTTGCACCAGCCAGTCCTTGTCCGTTGTTCTAGGGCTAAATGAACGCAACTTAGCACCAGCTGTCAGCGAGCTATGCACCCCAATAATCATCAGCATGCGTTGTTCGCTGGATGCCGAGGGTCGCCACCAATGACGGCGAGGGACGTCCGGCCGTGACGTCACCGACGCGGGTGGTCTGCGGGGTCCAGCCGGCGCAGCTGAGGTGGCGTTTGCACGCGACGGAAGTGCCTAGCCCAGCCCTGATGCGGATGAGGAGCAACTGCCCCTGATCTAGCAGCTCAGGGGCGACGGAGGAGGAGTCTGCCCGGTCCGGGCAGCCCGCACCGACCCGCTCTGTCCTTCCGCCGCCCGGCGAGGGGGGGGGGGCTGGGTGCTGAGGTCACGCCCGGCACCCGGCTCTGTCCCGTCATGCTGTCCCCTGACGGCCGGCGCTGCCGCCCCGCGTGACGGTGCGTCACGCGCGCGCGTGACGGCTGCGGACGCTGGGACAGGGCCGGTTTTGTGTGCTGTGATTGGGTCGCGAGTGGTGGCGGCGGGAGCGGCGTGTGGCTGCCGTGGCTGACGAGAGCCGCCACCGTCGCGGCCGGCTGACAGCCAATTGGTCAGAAGCAGTGGCTGGCACTTGCGTAGTTGGACACGCTCTAAGCGTGTTAATGCTCCACTTGTGTACTTAATTGCATTTCAAAGTACCAGACTGGCAAAGATATCTGCCACCAGCCACCATCCGTCACTGGTCACCGCCTGTCACCAGCCCGGATCCGTCAGCTGTTTCGACATCACCAAATCCCGCTCGACGCAAACCCAAATTCGTGAACATCCGCGACCCGTTACCAAAGCCGACGCCTCACCAAGCCCGACCTTTCACCACCCCAGACCCCTCACTAACCCTGCCCGTCACCAACTGCAATCTGTCCGCAACTCGGACCAGCCACCAAGCCCATCCCGTCACCATCCCCGCCCGACAAAACTGCTTCTGGTGACGTCAGTGGTCGACCTACTGGCGCGACAGCTGCCGGTGCCGCGCCATTGGCCCTGGCCGAGTGCGGCGTGCGAGGCGGTTTTTGGCCGGGTCAAAACATCGCCACACTTCACCGGAGGCTTTCTAAGCGGGGGGCCTTCACCCCATTCTCGGCGCGCGAGAGAGGAAGTGCGCTGCCGCAGCGTGATGTTTATCTGAGCTTGGCCAATGGCTGACACCACGTGGAAGCGTGCATAGGTCTCGGGCTGACTCATCGGCCGGCGGGCCGAGCCAGCTGTGAACTGGTTTTGTTGCGGTGTCTGGCCTCAGCCTCAGCGCATTACTCAGCTGGAGCAGCGGAGCATTGGGGAGGGGGGAGACGCGGACTTGCGCTATGCATTGTCCGTGCCCCATGAGTGTTGCCGGCTCAAATGCTCAGAAACAATCATCTCATGTAGCCTGAATCGGGCGTTTGGACGCAGCTTATTGGCGGGCTCCTGGCGCACTGGCGGAACGGGCTGCCAACGCAATGCTGGGATGCACTGCAAGC